CTGCGGCTGTGGCTCCTGGGGGTGCGTGAGCGGCTGTGGCTCCTGGTGCGGCTGTGACTGCGGCTCCGACTGCACCTGTAGCTACTGCCGTAGCTGCGGCTGCGACTCCTCCCAGAGTGGGAGGGGCTTGACATGGAACTGGAGGAGGAAGGGCTGGGGCGGTAGTACGGGATAGGCCGCTTCCGAGCGCTGAGGAGAGGACAGGACAGGAGATTAGACAGTACACAAAGCTCTTGTAGGAGTTAGTTAGTGTGAGGAGGACCACCACTTTGACAGCTGACCAGTGAGCTGCTCTTTTGGAATTTCTCTGCCACAGTATGGTCCTGTAGGAATGCTGAAGGTTTCGCATTTAAATATCAAATGTATTTCAAAATAAATAATCCATGTACTGTACCACGTCAAATCTATAACATGTTTTTTTTTTTAATAGGCACTTGGTCAGCTGTCATCAAAAGCAGACCAGAGAAACTGGCATACTGTAGTTATTATTGTAGTTATTACTGTAGTTATTACTGTGGTTGTTACTGTAGTTATTATTGTAGTTATTACTGTGGTTATTACTGTAGTTATTACTGTAGTTATTACTGTGGTTGTTACTGTAGTTATTACTGTGGTTATTACTGTAGTTATTATTGTGGTTGTTACTGTGGTTATTACTGTAGTTATTACTGTGGTTATTACTGTAGTTATTACTGTGGTTGTTACTGTAGTTATTACTGTAGTTATTATTGTGGTTGTTACTGTAGTTATTATTGTAGTTATTACTGTGGTTATTACTGTGGTTATTACTGTAGTTATTACTGTGGTTGTTACTGTAGTTATTACTGTGGTTATTACTGTAGTTATTACTGTGGTTGTTACTGTAGTTGTTACTGTAGTTATTACTGTAGTTATTACTGTGGTTGTTACTGTGGTTATTAGGTGATACAGTCAGATTGAGAGGTGCTGAAAGAGAACAGTTGCATGTGTTAGTTAGTAGGCGTCCACGTGCACGCACACGCACACCCACGCACACCCACACTTCAAATGGGTTAAAAGCGCTGAGATTGCCTTGTTAGTGGACACCCTCAAGGTGCAACCTAAGCGCCCCTTGCAGAAGTTGAGAGGTTTGAAAGGTTGCTTCTGGTACGTTAAGAGCTGTTAGCCACAAAAAGGAGGAAAATGATCTGAAGGTTAGCCCTCAACCACAAATCAGGCGACTTAACGATCTGGGAACGACGTCAGCGCTATCAAGGTGCTTCTGCTACTGAATGAGTACTAATTGGAATCGTCTCAAAGAATTGTCATTGGAATTTCTGTAGATCCACAATTTGGGATAAAGTTCAAGGGAGACATTACTGACTAAGATGAAGGCCTTGATAGCACCTTCATCAAAAAACCCTGTGTTATAGCATTAGTACACAACTGTGACTGTTTCTCTAGTGCTGGTGTGAGTTTATTCAAGTGGATTTACAAAAGGAAAAGTGGATAGAAAGAAGGAGAGAGAGGCGGGTAGAAGAAGAGAGCAGAAAGAAGGAGGCGGGTAGAAAGAAGGAGAGAGAGGCGGGTAGAAAGAAGGAGAGAGAGGCGGGTAGAAAGAAGGAGAGAGAGGCGGGTAGAAAGAAGGAGAGAGAGGCGGGTAGAAAGAAGGAGAGAGAGGCGGGTAGAAAGAAGGAGAGAGAGGCGGTAGAAAGAAGGGAGAGAGCGGTAAGAGAGGTAGAGAAGAAGAGAGAGAGAGGCGGGTAGAAAGAAGGAAAGGGGGAGAATAGAAGAAGAGAGAGAGGCGGGTAGAAAGAAGGAGAGAGAGGCGGGTAGAAAGAAGGAGAGAGAGGCGGGTAGAAAGAAGGAGAGAGAGGCGGGTAGAAAGAAGGAGAGAGCGGGTAGAAAGAAGGAGAGAGAGGCGGGTAGAAAGAAGGAGAGAGAGCGGAAAAGAAGGAGAGAGAGGCGGGTAAAAGAAGAGAGAGAGGCGGTAGAAAGAGAGAGAGAGCGGGTTAAAAGAAGGAGAGATAGGCGGGTAGAAAGAAGAGAGAACGGTGGAGGAGTAGAAGAAGGAAGAGACGGGTTAGAAAGAAGAGAGAGAGCGGTTAGAAAGAAGGAGAGAGAGGCGGGTAGAAAAGAGAAGAGGTAGAAAGAGAGAGAGAGGCGGGTAGAAAGAAGAGAAGGGTAAAGAGAGAGAGCGGGTAGAGAAGAAGGAGAGAGAGGCGGTAGAAAGAAGGAGAGAGAGGCGGGTAGAAAGAAAGAAGCGGTGAAAGAAGGAGATGGAGAGAGGCGGGTAAAGAAGGAGAGGGGGTTAGAAAGGAGGAGGGGTAGAAAGAAGGAGAGAGAGGCGGGTTAGAAAGAAGGAGAGAAGGCGGGTAGGAAATGAGAAAGGGTAAGGAAGAGGCGGTAGAAAGAAGGAAGAGAGGCGGGTAGAAAAGAAGGAGAGACATGGCGGTGGTAGAAGAATGATAGGAGAGAGGCGGGTAGAAAGAAGGAGAGAGAGGCGGGTAGAAAGAAGGAGAGAGAGGCGGGTAGAAAGAAGGAGAGAGAGGCGGGTAGAAAGAAGGAGAGATAAGCGAGGGAAACAGGAGGGAGCAGCGGTACTCTAGGGAAGTTTGTTCTATTTGGTTAGCAGCTTCACCAGACCTCAGTCAGGAGGACTAGGGGAGTCGTGCTGCACGGCAACTGTTACCACAGTAACCTAGCCTGCAGCTCAGCAGCATTCTGTTGTCTTGGCTTCCAGGAGAATCTTCCTTTGTGCAGGAGTGACAGAGGATTGACAGAACATTTTGACCAGCATTTTATCGAAAAGCACTCCACACACATTCTGGGAAACACAATGGAATCATATTGTTGCTACTGTGTGCCATCGCTCAGCTGTGGCAAATCTTGGCTGTGATAAAGGTTGTACACTTCTATGATATAATATATATTTCACCTGAAATAATATAACATGTTCAGTTCCACTTGATTAAGGATACAACACACACACACAGATGTACATAAAATAACCCCACATGTACAGTAATTATGCTGAGGATTCACAATCAAATTGTTGAGAAGAACCAAAGAAAAATAGAGTGGGAGAAACCTTGATAAACTCTCCCATAGATGTCAGTGTTACAGCTTCATTCTGCTTTCACTGAGGGAGAGTGGTTAGATAGATCCTCTGTTACCTTGTCACGCCCTGACTCAGGGGACGGTTATTTGTTGAGTCAGGGTGTGTATATTTCGTGTTGTGTTTGTTTCTATGTTTAGTTTCTAGATCGTTTAGATCTATGTTGGCCAGGGTGGTTCCCAATCAGAGACAGCTGTAGCTCGTTGTCTCTGATTGGGGACCATACTTAGGCAGCCTGTTGGCACCAGTTAGCTTGTGGGATCTTGTTCCGTAAAGGTATGTTATTTGTCTACCTTGGACTTCACGTTTCGTTTTGTTCTTTTGTCGTGTGTTCAGTACGGAAATAAATATGAATGCATATCACGCTGCGCCTTGGTCCTTCTCGTTAATAAACGATCGTGACAGAAGATCCCACCAATCCTGGATCAAGCAGCATGATGAGGAGAGAGGATGGACTTGGGAGGAGATGAGCGAGAGTCTGGCAAGAGGGATGGAGGCCATGATCACGGGGGAGAGACAAGCCCCCCAAATTTTTTTGGGGGGCTCACGCCGTGGACGACGAGGCAGCAGGAGGCCGCGATAGAGCGGTTCAGCCGTTTAGCAGAGGAGGCCGCCAGATTAAGGGGGTCATTGGTGCAGAGGGAGCAGAAGGAAAGTGTAGAGGCACGGCGAGAGGAGCTGGTTAGGCAGCAGAAGGAGCGGGGGTTAATGAAGGAACCCAGTCCCGCTCCTCGCACTAATCAAGTGGTGCGTGTCGCCAGTCCGGTCCGGCCCGTTCCTGATTCCCGCACTAAGCCAGTGGTGCGCGTCGTCAGCCCAGTCCGGCCCGTTCCTGCTCCCCGCACCAAGCCAGTGGTGCGCGTCGTCAGCCCAGTCCGGCCCGTTCCTGCTCCCCGCACCAAGCCAGGGGTGCGCGTCATCAGCCAGGTCCGGTCCGTTCCTGCTCCCCGCACCAAGGCAGTGGTGCGTGTGTCCAGTCCGGCCCGTGCCTGTTCCACCGGGGTCCAGTCCATCCCCGGTCAGCGGCTCCACTCCGGAGCCAGAGCAGTCCGCTCCACCGGTGCCTGATCCAGCTCCAGTCAGCGGTTCCAGACCAGACCAGGGGCGCAACGGGGAGGTGGAGAGTAAGTGGTGGTCACACCCGGAGCCGGATCCGCCTCCGAGGTGGAATACCCACCCGGCCCCTACCCTGTTAGGTTTATGTGGCGCGGTCGGAGTCCGCACCTTTGGGGGGGGGTACTGTCACGCCCTGACTCAGGGGACGGTTATTTGTTGAGTCAGGGTGTGTATATTTCGTGTTGTGTTTGTTTAGTTTCTAGATCGTTTAGATCTATGTTGGCCAGGGTGGTTCCCAATCAGAGACAGCTGTAGCTTGTTGTCTCTGATTGGGGACCATACTTAGGCAGCCTGTTGGCACCAGTTAGTTTGTGGGATCTTGTTCCGTAAAGGTATGTTATTTGTCTACCTTGGACTTCACGTTTCGTTTTGTTCTTTTGTCGTGTGTGTTCAGTACGGAAATAAATATGAATGCATATCACGCTGCGCCTTGGTCCTTCTCGTTAATAAACGATCGTGACATACCTGGTGATCCTGCGAGCCTCCATGAAGCTGGGAGAATCTCGTCTCCTCTTCCTGATGGGAGAGTAGCTCCTGGAGCGACGGTGAGCACGGTCAGCGTCGGAGTGGTGAGGACTGTCTCTCTCCTTAGTGGAAAAACTAAAAATACACAGAAATTGTCATGTACTGGACAGAAAAAAACAAATATATGAAAAAAGTAATGTCTAAATAAATCACTGGGGAGCTCAACAAAGTTGTAAAAGCTTCTAGTAGACCTAAAACCAATAGTGTCATCTGGCCTTCCAGGTAGGTTAACTGTCATCCATAGACTAGTAAGTAACCCTTCCCTAGGCGGTGTTCCTCACCTGGAATTGTTCTGTCTGGCATGGACGTGGAGGGACTTGGCCTTGCTGGGGCCTCTCTCTCTGGAGGCAGAGCATGATGAGGACCGTCCTGAGCTCCAGGAGCTGCTGCGCTGCCGGACCCCCACACCGCCCCGCCCCCGAGACTCACTCTTCTTCCTGCCTGACCCAGACACATGGTGGTGCCGCCCCGGGGATGCAGACAGCCTCCGGTGAAGAGCCTGTCCCCGACCCCCACGATGGTGCTTCTTGGAAGAGTGGGTCCTTTTAGTCCTAGAGGTAGATAGGTAATGAGTATCAGTTGATTATTGGTAACAGAGGAAAGATGGCTGGATACCTTTAGTAGTTACGCTATATGAAGAAATTGGAGAGTGGGGCAAAATAAGTGCATAATTTTTTTTGTGACGTGCCACATTAGAAGACCGACAGGGTGTTTAGTTCTCAAAGTGATCAACCTGTTTTGATTGCTATTAGCAAATCTCAGGATAGCACAAGTGGATAGGGAAGTGCATCGGCCTGTGCCCTGGACAGCAGACTAAACACTGAAACACTAAGCAGTGGCCATAAAAGAAGTGGAGAACACAACACATGGTAATGACCAGGGCCGGATAAAGAAGTCATAGGCCCCGGGGCTTTTATTTAGTTTTTTTTTATAGCACCGCCACCTTAATTTTCAGTAAACAATTCGTGCACCAAGATGAAATTCGGTGTGTGGTAAATTTAGCGTTGAAGAAAAAGCCCCTTTATAATAAACCCATAATAACATTTGCGATGTGGAGCAGAGACGTTTTTAGGATTTCCACACATGGCGAACATTTGTTAGCAGGGTCTTCCCCCTAAAAAATAGCCTTTTAAAAATGCATTTAATTCAATTCTACATAATTTACATGACCGCAGACATTAGCTGAACATTTGTTATACCACACAAATGACTGAAAAAAGTGAGCTACTCTGACACTGAGATCAATCTGGTCTTGAATTCAAACAGACAATAAATAGCCCAGGCCAATGAAGCGACACACAGAATGTACAATATTAGGAGGCAATATATATATGTATTATAGACTACAGTAGGCTACTAAATACAATTTCCAGTGGCACACTGACTCACCTAATGATGAAGATGAAGCCATAGGCTACTACTCACTGTGGTGGCCGATGCGCTCATCATGGCAATTGCCTATCTCAAGATGAGCTATCTTTGAAAAACAGTGCTGCTGTTCCCAAATAATTCGGAGTTGCTGAGATTTATTTTCTTCTATTGGTTCTACAGACAGATTAATCTTCTCTTTTCAGCGGTAGGCAATTGCTTTCCAAACTGTACGTTTTTCCCAGGATTGTATTTTGACATTTGCTCAAGGCGAACAGACAGCTGCACCCAACCATAGAAATATAATCCATAGATGGCAGTTCCCATTCAGGTCAGGACTGGCAGCCACCGCTAGTGTACCCATGAGTGTAACACTCAAATTGCCAGGGTAAGAGGTTTCAAAACACTTCTATGAATTATATGTCTATGGCCGCAACGCAACAAGCTGTATATTTGGCGGGCATTCTGCCCAAACTGCGACCTCCCGACTGTAGGCAACTGGTAACTGCCAAAATAAAGGAAACACTTGATTAAATGAGGGGTACAAAGTTGATGTTATCCAACCACAGGGAAGATGTTATCCAACCGCAGGAAGATGTTATCCAACCGCAGGAAGATGTTTGGTGGTGGGAGTGCTGTGAAGAATGTTGGTGGTGGGAGTGCTGTGAAGAATGTTGGGGGTGGGAGTGCTGTGAAGAATGTTGGGGGTGGGAGTGCTGCAATAAATTGTTTTGCCCGCACTACAGACGGCTATGTAGGTCCAATAATACAGGACCAGTAAAGGCCCAGTGCACTGCTTTTGTGAAAAAATTACATTTTAATATATACATACAGTGCCCTCGGAAAGTATTCAGACCCCTCAACTTTTTCCACTTTTTGTTACGTTACAGCCTTATTCTAAAAGGGATTAAATAGTTTTCCCCCCTCATCAATCTACACACAATACCCCATAATGACAAAGCAAAAACTGTGTTTTAGAAATGTTTGCCAATGTATTAAAAATAACAAACTGAAATATCACATTTACATACTGTAAGTATTCAGATCCTTTACTCAGTACTTTGTTGAAGCACCTTTGGCAGCGATTACAGCCTCGAGTCTTGGGTATGATGCTACAGGCTTGGCACACCTGTATTTGGGGAGTTTCTCCCATTCTTCTCTGCAGATCCTCTCAAGCTCTGTCAGGTTGGATGGGGAGCGTCACTGCACAGCTATTTTCAGGTCTCTCCAGAGATGTTTGATCGGGTTCAAGTCTGGGCTCTGGCTGGGCCACTCAAGGACATTCAGCGATGAAGCCACTACTGCGTTGTCCTGGCTGTGTGCTTAGGGTCATTGTCCTGTTGGAAGGTGAACCTTCGCTCCAGTCTGAGGTCCTGAGCACTCTGGAGCAGGTTTTCATCAAGGAGCTCTCTGAACTTGATCCTGACTAGTCTTCCAGTCCCTGCCGCTGAAAAACATCCCCATGGCACGATGCTGCCACCACCATGCTTCACCGTAGGGATGGTGCCAGGTTTCCTCCAGACGTGACGCTTGGCATTCAGGACAAAGAGTTCAATCTTGGTTTCATCAGACCAGATAATCTTGTTTCTCATGGTCTGAGAGTCCTTTAGGTGACTTTTGGCAAACTCCAAGCGGGCTGTGATGTGCCTTTTACTGAGGAGTGGCTTCTGTCTGGCCACTCTACCATAAAGGCCTGATGGGTGGAGTGCTGCAGAGATGGTTGTCCTTCTGGAAGGTTCACCCATCTCCACAGAGGACCATGGGGTTCTTGGTCACCTCCCTGACCAAGGCCCTTCTCCCCCAATTGCTCAGTTTGGCTGGGCGGCCCGCTCTAGGAAGAGTCTTGTTGGTTCCAAACTTCTTCCATTTAAGAATGGTGGAGGCCACTGTGTTCTTGGGAACCTTCAATGCTGCAGACATTTTTTGGTACCCTTCCCCAGATCTGTGTCTCGACACAATCCTGTCTCGGAGCTCTACGGACAATTCCTTCGACCTCATGGCTTGGTTTTTGCTCTGACATGCACTGTCAACTGTGGGACCTTATATAGACAGGTGTGTGCCTTTCCAAATCATGTCCAATCAATTGAATTTACCACAGGTGGACTCCAATCAAGTTGTAGAAACATCTGAAGGATGATCAATGGAAACAGGATGCACCTGAGCTTAATTTCAAGTCTCATAGCAAAGGGTCCAAATACTTAAGGTATTTCTGTTTTTAATTTTTAATAAATGTGCAAAGATTTCTAAAAAAACTGTTTTCACTTTGTCATTATGGAATATTGTGTGTAGATTTATGACGGGAAACATTTATTTAATCCATTGTAGAATAAGGCTGTAACGTAACAAAATGTGGAAAAAGTCTAGGGGTCTGAATACTTTCCGAATGAATTATTGTAGTTTATTTTTTTATATTATGTATTTATTTATTTTTTATTTATTTATTTTTTAGGGGGGGGGTGCAGCACCCTAGGCACCCCTACTTCCTGCCGTTATGTAGGTTATGGTCTATGGGATGCATTTTCCTGGCATGGTATAGGTCCATTTGTAGAATCTATGCCTTGGTGCATTGAGCTGTTCTGGCAGCTCGTGGTGGCCAAACACCATTTTAAAGACACTTTATGTTGGTCTTTCCTTTATGTTGGCAGTTACCTGTATGTGCTTGTGATACAATGTTATCCACAGTAAAACATTTTTTAACTCTGTGTCTAAATTATGCTTTGTGGCTAAATTATGCTCTCTGGTGTATTTTGAACATTGTGGTTGGATAAAAAACTATCATAATAATGGAATTACCTCTTGGACTTGGGCCCAGCCCTTGACTCACAATTGACCAGTCACATTTATTTTTAATTTTTTATGAATCGGTTACCCAATCAAGGCAGGGCCCCCCAGTTACCCACGTGCCCCCATCCCCTCCCCACACACCTCCTCTCCTCCCCCCATCTGATGATTAGCAGAGTGGCAGCAGGCAGCAATAGGCTGTCTACACTTATTGAGAGCGGGCTCCTGAATCCTCCTGTGGTTGGCTTAAGCCCCGGAAATTCCCTGCATTAATCCGGCCTTGCAAATGACAGGTAAAGGCTATGTCAGTATGGGGGGCCAATCTCTCTGCTTACTTCTTCTGGTGAGAGCTCTTTTTTCTGTGAGGATGCAGGTTACGTTGAGAGTGGGCGGAGTCACTGCTGTGAGTCGGCGAATGGGAGCGCTTCCCCTGGACTCTGTGACCACCCCATCTCCCTGACGACCCCAGGCCCGTCATCTGCCTGTCCTCCCCATGTAGGGCTTCTCCAGCCTGGGCAGCAGTACCTCCTGGGGCCCTGTAGAGGGCAGTGTGGGCCTTGTGTTCTCCTCCTCTCAGTTGTGGCAGTATGATGGCCGACTGGGCTCCCGGAGTAGCAGCAGTCAGCATTCTCAGCTTCTGTAGAGAGATGATAACCAACAAACGGAAACAATAACCAAAGACAAAAAAAGAAAAAGGGGAAAGAAAGGGCCTTAGAGTTTGTCACAGTGGAGTGTTTGAGTGCTACGGTGTACTTGGCAAAAGAGGGACAACATCTAAAAGAAAAGATCTAGGTTTTTTTCTCGATATGGCTTATAGACAGTCCTCTATGGTGCAGCGCATGCAATACTTGGCATGCAAAACCATAATGACACGAAGAAATCATAATCCCAAAAAGAAACAAAAAAAAATTAGAAGAGGGAGAGGAAGAAAGATACATAATATAAAATGAACAAATTATGTTAAAGAGCAGAGAGAGGAGAACAGAGAAGAAAAGAGAGAGGGGAATAGAGAGTATTGAGTTACAGAAGAGAGAGTAGAGAGTTACAGGAGAGTAGAGAGCTACAGAAGAGAAAGTAGAGAGTTACAGAAGAGAGAGTAGAGAGTTACAGAAGAGAGAGTAGAGAGTTACAGAAGAGAGAGTAGAGAGTTACAGAAGAGAGAGTAGAGAGTTACAGGAGAGAGAGTAGAGAGTTACAGAAGAGAGAGTAGAGAGTTACAGAAGAGAGAGTAGAGAGTTACAGGAGAGAGAGTAGAGAGTTACATGAGAGAGAGTATAGAGTTACAGGAGAGAAAGTAGAGAGTTACAGGAGAGAAAGTAGAGAGTTACAGGAGAGAAAGTAGAGAGTTACAGGAGAGAGAGTAGAGAGTTACAGGAGAGAGAGTATAGAGTTACAGGAGAGAAAGTAGAGAGTTACAGGAGAGAAAGTAGAGAGTTACAGGAGAGAGAGTAGAGAGTTACAGGAGAGAGAGTAGAGAGTTACAGGAGAGAGAGTAGAGTTACAGGAGAGAGAGTAGAGAGTTACAGAAGAGAGTAGAGAGTTACAGAAGAGAGAGTAGAGAGTTACGAAGAAGTAGAGAGTAGGAGAGAGTTACAGGAGAGAAGTAGAGAGTTACAGGAGAGAGAGTAGAGAGCTACAGAAGAGAGATAGAGAGAGTTAGACAGAGAGAGAGTAGAGAAAAGTTACAGAAGAGAGAGTAGAGAGCTACAGAAGAGAGAGTAGAGAGTTACAGAAGAGAGAGTAGAGAGTTACAGAAGAGAGAGTAGAGAGTTACAGAAGAGAGAGTAGAGAGTTACAGAAGAGAGAGTTAGAGAGTTACAGAAGAGAGAGTAGAGAGTTACAGAAGAGAGAGTAAGAGTTACAGAGAGAGAGTAGAGAGTTACAGAAGAGAGAGTAGAGAGTTACAGAAGAGAGAGTAGAGAGTTACAGAGAGAGAGTAGAGAGTTACAGAGAGAGAGTAGAGATTACAGGAAGATGAGACAGGAGAGAAGTAGAGAGTTACAGAGAGAGAAGTAGAGAGTTACAGGAGAGAGGTAGAGAGTTACAGAGAGAGAGTAGAGAGTTACAGAAGAGAGAGAGAGAGTTACAGAGAGAGTAAGAGGAGATAGAGAGTTACAAGGAGAGAAAGTAGAGAGTTACAGGAGAGAGAGTAGAGAGTTTGAGAGTTACAGGGAGGAGGAGGTAGAAGAGTTACAGGAGAGAGAGTAGAGAGTTACAGAGAGAAGAGGAGTACGCGAGTAGAGAGTTACAGGAGAGAGAAGTAGAGAGTTACAGGAGAGAGAGTAGAGAGTTACAGGAGAGAGAGAGTAGAGAGTTACAGGAGAGAGAGTAGAGGTTACAGGAGAGAAAAGTAGAGAGTTACAGAGAGAGAGTAGAGAGTTACAGGAGAGAGAGTAGAGAGTTACAGGAGAGAGAGTAGAGAGTTACAGGAGAGAAGTAGAGAGTTACAGGAGAGAGAGTAGAGAGTTACAGGAGAGAGAGTAGAGAGTTACAGGAGAGAAGTAGAGAGTTACAGGAGAGAGAGTAGAGAGTTACAGGAGAGAGAGTAGAGAGTTACAGGAGAGAGAGTAGAGAGTACAGGAGTAAGATAATTAAGAGTTACAGAGAAGAGATAGTAGAGAATTACATGAGAGAAGTAGAGAGTTACAGGAGAGAGAGTAGAGAGTTACAGAAGAGAGAGTAGAGAGTTACAGGAGAGAGAGTAGAGAGTTACAGAAGAGAGAGAGTAGAGAGCTACAGACTTTGTAGAACAGAAAAGGAGGACTTCTTCAAGTTTTAGTAATGGTTAAAAAACTAATATGAAATGAAACAAAACAAATAAAAAGAGTAGACAACTTGACGGAACATCACAGAAATGGAAGGAACAAAACAAAAGATTCACAATTATAGAGTCAAATTGAATCAGAAAAACAAATCGTCTGCTACTCAATAATTTTCTTTTTGTGGAGTTTTTTTTCCCTGGAGTAGACAATTGCTGAGATGTGAACAGCGACCCATTTTCTTTTTTCAGTTTTTTTTTATCGTTACTCTTGTTTAACCTTTTGGTTAACATCCTCTTGGTTAACATCCACTTACCAATAAAGTGGCATTCCCTCCTTTAGTAGGTAAGGTATGAAGAAAAGGGAAAAGTGGGGCAACATAAGTGCATCATTAGATTTCACAAAATGCAAGAGAAAAAAAAACACAAACCCTTCCCTGGCACAGTGAGGCATGAGACAATGAAATCAACTGACATTCAATCAAAAATAAAAGAGGAAGGGAGTCAACCACAATGTTCAGGGAACCTCTCACACCGAGAGTAGTTAAGTCTTCCAGATCATCCACTCTGCTGGCCAGCCCACTCCACCACAGGGCAGGGCAGACAGCCTGTGTGAATGACCATTTCGTTAAGTTCAGAGGTTCCAGAGTGTTCCGTTCAGGGGTTCAAACCCCTCCCAGGTACTATGTTAGGTTACAGTTTGTTCAAACCAAGGCATTTCTTGTCAGTGTGTGGTTGCATTTCCCCTGTAACTCTTGGGCATATGACATCTTTAATTGGCTATGTTGAGATGCACAGCTATCTATTTTAGTTCTCTGTTTAACAATATCTGTTAATATGATAGGTGACACAAATCTGTACTAGTGAATTTATACTTAAGTGTTACATTAAGCAAAAGAAACAGTCCTCTGAGAGAACAGAACTTCTACAAATAGTGTATTCTCCCGGCCATTTATTGAGGTGATTCTTAAAGTTACAGCTCCATTTCAAACACAAATGTGTTTGGTAGACCAACTTCAGTATGAGGGCTTTGAGCAAAGCGGGCGATATTGCAAGATACGGTAGGCTGAGGACATTGAGCTAGGACGCAGGCATTTTCTGTAACAGCATAATAAACAGGGCAAGGGGCTTCACACGGTTTTGTGTGTCTGTGTGTAGATGTTTGTGATTTCCTGGCTGTGTGTAGATGTTTGTGATTTCCTGGCTGTGTGTAGATGTTTGTGATTTCATGGCTGTGTGTAGATGTTTGTGATTTCATGGCTGTGTGTAGATGTTTGTGATTTCATGGCTGTGTGTAGATGTTTGTGATTTCATGGCTGTGTGTAGATGTTTGGGATTTCATGGCTGTGTGTAGATGTTTGTGATTTCATGGCTGTGTGTGTGTCTCCAGGATATATAGGTCATTTATCAGCAGGTGCAAAGGTCAAAGCAGGTAAATACCAAAACATTGGGAGTTCTCTTGCATGCATTAATCTACTCTCCTGTAAACGCTGACCGCTGAACGGGGACTCTTCATAGAAAACAACAGAAATAAAAAACCCTTCTCCACAAAATAAACTAAAGACTAAAGCTGTAGACAGAGGAGAACACACAACCACTGACGCAGAAGATGACAGTTGTTAGAAACAGCCATCAAGGAAATAAATATGAACAAATTATAAGACGAATGTAACTATTTCACCAATAGAACAGAGAGATGCTGGACAAACATGAATCAATGCATTCTACCAAAACAGAAAAACAATTGACCTGCTTCAAATAGGGCGGGATATTGGACTGAATTCAGTACGAAAGTTTAAGGAGGATAGAGTAAAAATAATAAACTCTAACTAATCAAAATCTTAAAAGCAAAATATAACTGATAAAAAGAAAGATAAAATAACTTCCTAAAGCTACATTTCCCTGGTGGTTAAATAATAGAAAGAGAGAGAGAGAAACATTGACGTCAAGCTAGAGGGTGCTTCTGACATTCTCATATCTGCATAAAGAAAGACCACGTGCCAAGGCAGAGCGTTACCTACCTTACATTTCAATCAGTGACACGTACGCAATGTCAACAACAGGAACGGAAGAAACAAACAAAAATGAGAAAGGAATGTTCTCCGCAGCAAAATGGGAAAAAGACAACGGACCTCTTTTAGTATCAACGCTACCAACTTCTTCCAGAGACTAAGAAGGAGAAGGTAAACAAACAAACCAACAAAAAAAGCAAAAGAAAATGGACAAATAAACCAATACTTAAAATCAAACAATTTCATTTTTTTATTTTTATGAATGTACAAACTACAATGATTTGCTGTCATTTTCGCTTGTTCTAATGCAACCATTGTTGTATGAAAAGGGAGAGGTGGGTAAAGTTTGGGTAAGTAAACAAAGTTTAATCATGAAACAAAATGAAATCTGTTGTTTAGCTAGAATTACTAGAGGGAAGTAAGGATGGAGGGAGGGAGGGAGAGATGGGCGCGCAGAGCTGGCAGATGACAAGAGACGAAGGGATAAGAAGAGCATGTCAGGACAACGGAGGGCAAGAAAGATGTCACACAACACGGACGGACAGATAGAGGGGGAGGAGTGTTGGAAGGAGGGAGGCTCAGGGTAGGGAAGTCACCGCTAGGATGGACAGCTAGTACAGTACACACATTTAAAAAAGGGACCCCAGTCACATTTTTTGGAAGAGATATTCTTCAACAATAGAACACAGTGGTTTATGAAACCAGCTCAGAAAGTCCACGGTGGCCTCTTTCACTTCAAAAGTATTCCTTTTGTACTCAGCAATGCACCAGGGTTTTGACAGTGCACCATGTTAGTATAGGCAGTTGTTATTGAGGCAGAACAAAAGGGTGCTTGTTGTTTAATTGAAGGCCTTGTAAAACGAACAG